ACAGCAATGAGGAAAGCAATACAGAAATTGGTACCTACAAGTACAGTTGTTGCTATAAGAAATCTGATGGTGTGGTTCTTAGGGACTGCTTTGCAGGAGAGTTTGGAGTCATGGCCTAGAGAAGCCCTAGAATGCTCTGAGTGGAACTTAAGGGACCATTCTTACAGGACTTTGGAAGACCAGAATTCGAACAGAAACATGGATAGTAAAAAAGCTCAAGAGGCTTCAGGAAGAATAAGGACTATGAGGAACTGGATGAGAGGCCGTTTGTGTTAAGATTCCATCTGGATATATTCCCATGTCCTGAAGATTTGGATGAGGTTGAATTCATAATGGGATAATTTGTTTGGTAGAGGAAATTTCAAGACAGCATAGCATACAGGCTGCAGCACGACTGTTTTAGCCAGATTTATAGTCAGAATTCAGAGCGAAAGGTGGAGCAGAAAGATGTGAAAAACATGTAGTTCTGGACATGTGTATAGTTTCAAAAAGATGTTGTAGATATCATTAAAAAGCCAAGCATGGGGCTGGACAGATAGCTCAGAGGTTAAGAGCACTGGCTGGTCTCATAAAGGACCCAGGTTCAGTTGCCAGTACTTACATGGCAGTCAACAACCATCTGGAACTTCAGTTCCAGGGGATCTGAAGCCCTCTTCCAGCTTCTATAGGCTCTGCACATACATGGTACACTTAAATGCATGCAAGCAAAACACTCATATACACATAAATAAATTTAAAAGCAGCTGCAGGGGCTGGAGAGATGTCTCAGCAGGTAAGAGTACTGGCTACTCTTTCAGAGGACAGGGTTCAATTCCCAGCACCCACATGGTGGCTAACAGCAGTCCTTAACTCCAGTTCCAGGGGATTCGACACCTTCTTCTGACCTCCATGGGCACTGCACGACATGGGGGCACTTACATACAGGCAGGCAAAACACTCGCACACAAAACAAAAATAATAAATTAAAAAACATTTTTTTTAATTAAAAAAAGCAGCAGCAGTAGCCAAGCACTTTGCCCTGGAACAACAGGAAAGGCACCTTGGGGACAAGACCTCTGTGCTCGATAGCTCTAGTGTCAACTTGACACACCTGGGTTGAGGGAGCCTCAATTGGGGAATTTCCTTCATTGGACTGGCCTGTGGCCATGTCCATGGGGTACCTTCTTGATTGTTGAGTGATGTGGGAGGGCCCAGCCCACTGTGGGTGGTGCCATCTCTGGGCAGGTGGGCCTGTGTTGCATACAAAAGCAGGCTGAGCAGGGGGCAGGGGAGCAAGCCAGTAAGCAGTGATACTCCATGGCCTGCACTCCAGCTCCTGGCTCCAGGTTCCTGCCCTGAGTTCCTACCTTGGGCTCCCTGATGAACTGTGACCCGGGAGATGTGAGCTAAATAAACCCTTTCCTCCCCAAGTTGGTAGTGGTCAGAGTGTTTTGTCACAGCAATGGAGAAACAAACTAGGACAACCTCATTTTCTGTTGGGTTGGAGATGGCTCAGTAGTTAACAGCACTTGCTGCCTATCATGAGGACCAGAGATCAAATCCTAGCACCCATGTTAGGTAGCTCACAAACACCTGTACCTCCACCTCCAAGGAAACTGACATCCTTTTCTGGCCTCCATGGTGTACTCGCACACACAAACATACACAAAAACACACACAATAAAAATAAATATAAAAAAATTAAAACAGCATTCAGAATTTTTTTTTAAGGGGGGCAGGGAGGCTCCAGGTTGTAAAAGCTACAAATCTGCCAGGTGTGATGGCACATACCTGTAGTCCCAGCACTCAGGAGGCAGAGGAAGGTGGATCTCTGAGTTCAAGGCTAGCCTAGTCTACATAGTCAGTTCCAGCTGGGGCTGTCTCAAAAAGACAAAAAAGACAAAAAACAAAAAAAAACCCAAAAAACTACAAATCTATTTGAAAATTTTCATTTAAAAGAGTGCAGAGTGCATAATGGCGCACACCTTTAGTCCCAGAACTCCTGGAGGCAGAGGCAGATAGATTTCTGTGTGTAATTCAAGGACAACCTGGTCTAAATAGTGAGACCTGTTCTCAAAACAAAACAAGTCCAAAAACCACCCCACAAACCAGTCTTAAAAATGGCACAGAAATGTCATCATGAAACCATGGTCACAAAGATACGAATCTCTTAAGGGGGCAGACCTCAAGTTCCTGAGGAACATGTGTTTTGCCAAGAAGCACAACAGGAAGGGCCTGAAGAAGATGCAGGCCAACAACTCGGAGGCCATGGGTGAATGGCCAAAACTATCAAGGCCCTTGTGAAGCCCAAGGAGGTTAAACCCAAGATGCCAAGGGCTCCCAACAGCAAGCTCTGCCCACTTGCTTTCATCACCTACACCAAGCCCGGGAAGTGGATTCTTGGCTACACAGCCAAGGGTCGCAGCCTCTGCCAACGGAAGGCCAAGGCCAGGGCTGTAGCTCCACTTAAGATCCAGGCTCCGACTCCAGCTCAGGCTCCCAAAAGTGCCCAGGCCCCTGTGAAGGCCTCATAATAAAGGTCTTCGTCTGCCAACGTGAGGACAGATGAACTGTTGTGACTTCCCTCCCCACTGTTTGCAGGGGGCTGGTGTCCTGTGCTATTTTTGCAAATAAACTTGAGGCAAGATGTTAAAAAAAAAACAAAAACAAAAAAACACAAGCACGGTAGCACCACCTTTAATCCCAGCACTGGGGAGGCAGAGATAGGTGGATCTCGGGGAGTTCGAGGCCAGCCTGGTCTACATAACAAGTTCCAGGTCAGCTGGGGCTACAGGGAGACGGTATCTCAAAAAGACACCCCCCCCCAAAAAAAAAGGAAAAAACAAAACAAAGTGCTAGGGGGAAAAAAAAAAGAGTGCCTAAACAAAGTGCTAAAGCAGGGGCCGCCTAGGAAAACATTTTCCTGCGTAGCTGAACCTGGGAAGCTACTGCAATTGTGCAAAAGGACCTGGCTACATCTAAAGCTGGCGGTTGAACTTGGCATCATCTATGTGGTGGTTTTGCAGGCATGCAGAATGCACATTACAGCACCATTAAGATTGCAGAAAAAAGCCTTTGAGGCCAGGGAACATACGGCAGGCCCCTTTCCTTAAAAGGAGGCCCAAGAGACACCAATGTTAAAAAGCTTTGAGGGTGACTCCTAAATTGCAATCCAGGATGTTGAGAAGCCAGTGATGTAGGACGTCTGCTGAAGAGAGTCGCAGGCACCAAGCAAAGCTAGCCTAAGGGAGGCCCGGGGTGCTACGAGGCAGCAGTACCACAGGAACTGTACTGACCAAGTTGTACTGATAGAGCCCATGAGGCCACCAAGGGCCCTGGAGGCTGGACATGGGCCTATAGGGGGCGGCGTTTGCTCAGCTGGGTTTCAGTCTTGCTTTGGCCTAGTCTTTACTTGCTACCCTCCTGTTCCTTCCTGTTAGACAAGAACTCTTGCTCTGTTACAGGGTCTACTGGAAGCATATAACTTGTCTTTTTATTTTATAGGTGCTCACAATGAAAAGGTTAACATTAGTCTCAGAAATGATTTCAGAGTTTTGAACAGTGTTGGGACTGTTAAAGAGTATGGAGAGTTTTGAGGTTGAAATGGATGCATTTGCATTAGGCAATGGTCATAAGTCTATGCAGCCCAGGGTAGAATACTATGGTTTGGGTGTGAAATGTACCCCATAGGCTCATGTATTTAAACATTTGATCCCTGGCTTAGCACTGTTTTGGAGGTTGTAGAACATCTGGCATGGGAAGCCCAGCCAGGGATATAGGCCAATAGGGACATACTTCCAGCATGAGCTGTGCTTTCTGGTCACAGTGGGCTGTAAGGACCTGCCATCACAGACTGAACTGCATCACCAGGCCATTCCCCTAGTAATAGACTGTAATCCCTGAAACTGTGAGCCAAAAGAAATCCTGATCTTTTTTTTTTAAAAAAAAGAAGTCATTCCAACCAGGTTTTAAATTGAATGCTGTCCCATTCCATTGTCAGCACCCACCAGGAGAAAATGTACTTTATTATTTTTTTAATTATTATTCTTATTTTATGTGTATGAGTGTATTGCCTGCATGAATGCACCCACGTCGTGCAATGCCGCAGAGGTCAGAAGAGGGTGTTGGATTCCCCTGGAACTGGAGTTAAGGATGGTTTATAGCCACCATGTGGGTGCTAGGAATCGAACCTGGGTCCTCTGCAAGAGCAGTCAGTGCTCTTAACTGCTGAGCCATCTCGCCAGCCCCCGAGAATGTGCTTTAATAGCAGCTATGTCCAAAGGTTGCCAAATGGCTACAAAAGATTCCCCCAAGTCCATGCAGTCTTCTTCCTCAGTGCCATTAAGTGCCTCACAGCACAGGGCTGGCTCCTTAACTACAAACTCATTCTGAACAAAGAATGAATCTGATATACTGACTGTCCCTTATTTAAACTATGACTTGATAGGCGTGGTGGCATATGCCTTTAATCACAGCACTTGGGAAGCAGAGGCAGGTTGAATCTCTGAAATAGAGGCCAGCCTGGTCTACATTATAAGTTCCAGGCCCACTGGGACTATAGGGAAAACTGTCTGAAAAAATAAAAACGGGCTGGAGAAATGGCTCAGAGGTTAAGAGCACCAGCTATTCCTGCAGAGGACCCAGGTTTGATTCCTAGCATCCACATGGCAACTAACAACTGTCCATAACTCCAGTTCAAGGGGATCTAATGTCCTCTTCTGACCTGTACAGGCACTGCACAACATGGGTACTTACACTTACATACATGTAAGCAATACACTCATACACATAAAATAAAAATAATTTGAAAAAAACTTCAGAAAACAATGGTGGTGCACGGCCTGTAGTTCCAGCACTCGGGAGGCAGAAGCAGGCAGATCTCTGTGAGTTCAAGCCCAGCCTGGTCTACATAGTGAGTTCCAGGACAGCTGGGGCTACAGAGAGACCCTGTCTCAAAAAGACAAAAAAATTTAAAAAATTAAAAATAAAAATAAAAAAGTGAAACTATGACTTAAACCATATGAGATTTTACTATCTTTATTTTCTGCTTAAAATACATATATAAAAAAAGGAGAGGGAATAGGGTGAAATAGAATTACACTATACTGACACAGACTTGAAATTCTAGTTAGAGGTAATGCCAACATTAAACTGATGTTTAGAGGGAATAACTACAAGAAGTCTGATTAAAGTCTAAATGAGTTTAGTCTCATTATTAGCTTTAAAAGTGTATGAAAACAAGTTTGAAAAAACTTGGCATCCACAGCTGTCAGGTACATGGCCACACATGATAGGTAATCTGGAGAAAGGGTCTCTCCATGCCTGGTGTCATGCAGAGAGCAGCTCCCATTGCAAAGCGGCTATCTGTGGCTCACAGCTGTGTTTAGCAGTGGAATCGAGTGGAGAATTTAGGAGACACGGGCACAGTCAAAGGCTGGTCACTGGACTTCACCTCCACTGCCGAGTACTTGCGGATTGGATTTGCCTTGTGCACCTGCAGAGTAAAGAGAACAAGTTACCACTGAGACAGATGCGAAAGAACTACATACACAGTTGTTTTTAAGACAGTTGGACAGTTTTACAGATCCCAGGCATATTAAACGGGAGGGAGGGGCAGTAAAGCGGGGAAGTATGATACTCAAACAGGTTCTACTGGTGCTCATTGGGTCCCTAAGAATGCCAAACTTACCTCCAGTTACTAGGGAGTAACAGGACTGTGTTCAACCTCAGCAGAGAAGTTACAAGTTAAAAATTTCTGCTGAGCATGGTGGCAGAAGCAGGAGGAACTCTGTGAGTTTGAGGTCAGTCTGGTCTACATAGGGAATTCCAGGCCAGCCACCTGCATAGTGAGTCCCTACCTCAAAAAACAAATAAGCCAGGTGTGGTGGTGCATTCCAACTGAGGCAGAGGCAGGCAGATCCCTGTGATATAGAGGCCAGCCTCATCTACACAGCCAATTCCAGGCAAGCTGGGGTTACAGGGAGACTCTGTCTCAAAAAGACCAACAACAACTCTTTTGTTTGCTTGTTTGTTTTGAGACAGGGTTACACTATGTAGCCCCAACTGCCCTGGAACTCACTATGCAGAACAGGTTGGCCTCCATCTCACAGAGATCTGCCTGCCTTTGTCTCCCAGGTACTGGAATTAAAGGTGTGTACCACAATGCCTGGGGTTTCTTGACTGTTAACATTCAGTGAAAACAGACCAAAATAAAATGCAAAAAAGCAAGTCAGGGAGGACTTCTGGAGAGCCAGTGTCCCATCCATCCTTCTGAATAGTGTAAGATCACTCTTGAACCAGTTTAAAACAATCAAAGCCAGCACTGACTGGGCTTTAAGATGCCACCATGGGCCTACAGTGAGAATTGCTATAAGAAACAAACTTATAATGGGAACAAATACAAGAGACAGGTACCAAGTACTAGAGAAAAACAAAAAAACATCAAAGAAGCTCAGGCTGATTTTGAGTGTATCAGAGACTGTTTTCTCATTCAGTTAGCAAAAGGAGATCTGGATGCTGTCAAGAGGCTAACATCACAAGTAGTTTGTCCCAGTTCTACCAAAAACAAAACTACAGAGATAACCCTGGGTTAGTTGGTTCCAGTTAGTTACCAGTTCTTTCCGGAGTTTGGCTAGCTCCTCCTTCTCCTGTTCTTCTTCCTGTTGCCTGACTTCCTCTAGATGCTGCATTTTCCAGACTTCCATTTCAGCCATTCTCTTTTCCAACTCCTGCCGCTCCTTGGCTCTCTTCTCGGTGGCCAGCTGAAAAGGTTCCTGAACTAGAGAACCAGACAGGCTCTCTGAGTACAGAAACAAAGAAAATATTGGTGCACATGCAGCACTTGTATAAACCTTGTCCCCCAGGACTGTGCCAAGTGGAATAGCATGGACGGCAACACGAAGCTGCTGAGATGAGGCACACACCATACAACACATCTTACAACACTGAGGTGCAAAGGCCTCTGGAAACCATTAGTGTAAAGGAGAGGAAAGCAAGGGCCACTGAGCTCTCTTTCTACATGGGAATTTTAAGACAGGGAGAAAAATCCCAGTTTTCTGCCATATTGCTCAATGCTTAAGAAATCACGTTTTATTTCTAAGGCTTGTTCCAGAAAGCTGCCTCAGCTCTCCCTCATCTACTGCTTTTTCAGGTGTGGAAAGCTTAGAACTTTCATGGAAATACCAACTGCTTCTGTCACAACTTTTGCTCTATCAATCTGGCCCTCGCATTACTTGACAACTCAAGGGGAGCTACTGGGTCCAACAAAGGCCAAAGACTGAGTCTAAGGGAAAACAAGCTATTATCCTCTGAGGTCAAACACTTCTTGTTGACAGCATTGCACTGACACAACTAAGTCCCAACATCCCCCTGGGAAGATTGACATTCTGTCCCAATCCCCCAAGAGTACATAAAATACTACCAGCAACTGATTTTTTCTCTTTCTTGGGAATGAAGGGCTCCTGGAAGATGACGGTATTTGGACGAGCCTTGAAGCAAGTTGCTTCTTTCTGCTGTTTCAGTTCTTCCTCCAGCTGTTAGAAGGAAAGTCTGTGAGCTAGGCAAGTATGTAACGTCCCATGACTACTGCAGCAGTAACTCATATTCTGAAGTTTCTGAACTGCCTGATCAATGAAGACAGCAAATGATTTAATAGTTCCTTCACCCAATACCCAGGTCCACTGACAAAAGTATAAAGTACCTTCAAGATACTTTTCTACCCAAGCATGGTAGCACGTCTTGTTGTTGTTGTTGTTATTTTTATTTTATGTGTATGCATGTATTGCCTGCATATAGGTAAGGACACCAGTGTCATGCAATGCCCGCGGAGGACAGAAGAGACTGTCGGATTGCCAAGAACTGGAGTTACAGAGTTGTTAGCTGCCATGTGGGTGCTGGGATTCAAACCCGGGCCTTCTGAAAGAACAGTGTTCTTAACCGTTGTGCTATCTCTCCAGCCCTGGTAGCATGTCTTTAATCCCAGCACTCAGGAAGGCAGAGGCAGTCGGATCTCTGAGTTTGAGGCCAGCCTGGTCTACAGAGTGAATTCCAGGCCAACCAAGGCTACATAGTAAGGCCCTGTCTCAAAAACAAGTAACCAAAAAAAGACACTGTTTACTGCTGCACATTCTGGGCTGGCCAGCCCATGAACTTTGAGGAATTCTCCTGTCTCTCCATAGGGGCACTGGGATTATGGACGTGCACTCTTTGATGTGAGTTCTGGCGATTCAAACTCAGGTTGTCAGGTTTGTGTGGTGAGTGCTTTACCCTCCAAGCCTTCTCATCAACCCCTACAGGATACTTTTAAGGCCTATCTTCCTATCACAAAAATCAACAACTATACATCATATGCCTCTGGACATGATTCATCAAAGACTAGGCAACATCTTCGGTAAAGTATTCTCCATCCTATTTAAAAAGAAATAGGACAAGAAAAACAACCAACCATGATTTAATCAAGCTTCTGGAATAAATCTAAACAAATCAGTTTGTCTAACAAATAATACAAAGATAGGAACCCATTAACTAAAAGAGACCAGGGCTATCAAGCAAATGAATTATGTGGACCTTGTTGAGATCACTTTTGTTTGTTCTTCTCTCTCTTCTGTTTTTTGTGACAAAATTTTGCTATATAACCCTGGCTAGCCTGGTACTTGCTATATAACCAGGCTGGTCTTATAATTGTGGCAATCTTCCTGCCTCGGCCTCCCAAGTGCTACAAACAGCACATTTGGCCCTTGCTTAGATCTTGATTTGAACAATTCAACCATTTAGAAAAAGTATGAGAAACTTGGAGATATTTTTATATTGATTATTTGTCACTATTAAAGGGTTTTCTTATATTATGGGGTTTTGGTTTTGTTTTTTGGTCTTTTTGAGACAGGGTCTCCCTGTAGCCCCAGCTGTCCTGGAACTCACTATGTAGACCAGGCTGGCCTTGAACTCACAAAGATCAGCCTGCCTCTGCCTCCCAAGTGCTGGAATTAAAAGCGTGCACCACCACGCCCAGCCCATATTATGTTTTTAAGTCTTTATATCTTATATACATAGGGAGTAGTTTTAGATAAAAAGAGATGCTACCTAGTACCCATTCCTAAACAATCTTCTACACCTGTGCAAGTGGACATTCTGGGTAAGAGAAGCATGTGCAGGTGCAGACAAAATAAGCAAGCCCACGTTCTGATGATTACAGAACAAAGTTCTGGGCCCATGGAATTCATCATACTATTAGTTCCACTTGTATCTGAAAAACTTTACATTTTTTCAGAAATGGAAAGTGCCTCCCATAGACATTCTGTGTCTTGGTCCCTGAAAAAAGGCTGACAACTACTTCCAAAGCTTCGTACGCAGGCTTCCTAGAGAGCGATTCCTGCTAGGACTCTTGTCCGACCACAGACACAATCACATCTCTAGGCTTCAAGCGGGGTGATGCCTACAGACAAGAATTAGCCCAGAGGCCCTTTTGTATACAGTCCAGGATTAGTGATGGCATAAAAACATTGACAAATTTTGGAATTCAAGGAAACATTTTCTATTCCCTTTATTTCCTATAAATGAGTAGTTAGACCCAGAGGCTTGATTAAATCCTGGTTAGTTTTTATTTTGTTTACAGGTGAGACAGAATATTTTCAGGTGATACTGGCAGAATTAGATCCTAATTATATCAACTAGTCACAAAACATTTGTGTTTAATTACCTGTTATCTATGAAGAGCAATTATATCACACATCAGCCTATTATACTGAGAACCTGTTCTCCCATCCTGTTTCTTAAAAGCATCAACTTAAGGAATTTGTCTAATAGAGGAAATAAGTCAGATCTTAAAGAAACTTCTGACTAGAAAGGAGTCTCACATTCCCCAGATGACTGCTAAAAAGCAAGGGTCAACAGAATTCAGTCTGTTAGCCAAATGCAGCTTAAGCCAAGAACGGTTTTTACAACCAGGTGTGGTGGTGCACACCTGTAATCAGGAGGCAGAGGCAGGTGGATCTCTTGGAGATGGAGGCCAGCTTGGTGAGTTCCAGGCAAGGTGGGAATACAGGAAGAATCTGACTCAAAAAAAAAAACAACAAAACTTTTATGGCCAGAGAGATGGCTCAGTATTGGCTGCTCTTGCAGAGGATCTGGGTTTGGTTCCCCACACCCACATAGCAGCTAACAACCATCCTTAACTCCAGTTCCAGGAGATGTGACACCTTCTTCTAGCTTCTGCAGGCATTGCACACATGGCTGCACTTTGATACATGCAGGCAAAACACATACACAGAAATTTTCCCAAATTAAAAAAAATAAAAAGAGGGGCTGGATTAATGCCAGCACTCAGGAGGCAGAGGCAGGTGAGCCTCTGTGCATTCAAGGCCAGCCTGGTCTAAATACTGAGTTCCAGGCCAGCTGGGGTTACAGGGAGACCCTATCTCAAAAAGACCAAAAGGGGGGGGGGGCTGGAAACATGGCTCAGTGATTATGAGAAGGGTACTGAGTACTGGCTGTTTTTGAAGATCTGGGTTTGAACCCAAGCACCCACATAGTAGCTAACAACTGTCCATAACCCCAGTTCCAGGGGAATCCAATGCCCTCTTCTGACCTCCGAAGGTAATGCTTGACACAGGTGCACTTACACACATGCAGACAATACACTAAAACACATAAATTATTTTTTTAAAAAACTTAAAAAAAAACTTTTTTTTTTTTTTTTTTTTCCCGCTCTTTTTGAGACAGTGTCTCCCTGTAGCCAAAGCTGATGTGGAGCTGGCTATGTAGACGAGGCTGGCCTTGAACTCACAGCCATGTGCCTCTGCTTCCCAAGGGCTGGGATTAAAGGTGTGTACCACCATGCCCAGCTGTTTTTACATTTTCTAAGGGTTGAAAATACACAGAGACAGACGGAAAGAGAATCTGACAGAGGCCATATGTAACCTATAAAACCAAAAAAAATATTAATTGACCTTTTACAGAAAAAACAAAGCAGACTCCTGATTTACATAGAGCATATTAAAAAGATCAAGACTGTCATCCCAGATGATTTCAGTATAGATAGTGGATCTGCCTGTCTGACCAGCTTATAGGCCAACCAACCCACATTTTGGCTGTGCTCCCATTTCCTACCTGGTGCTTCCTTATCTCGGCCTTCTGGGCACCTCTTTTGTCAGTCTCCAAGGAGAAAGGTTCAGCTTGAGTCACATTCTTCACCTTTTTCTCTGGCAGGTTAATGGTATCAAAATGGGGCAAAGGAAGTGCCTTGAACTTGGGCACCTAATAGAGAAGAGAGAATAAGATTTAAAATTAACTCTCAGCAGGAGGACAGGGAGATCTACTCTGCAGAGAACATCAGATTACATTGACCTCTTCAGTACCTCTCCACCTTCAAGTCTCACAAAAAAAGATAGAAGACCTTGTGTCAGGCATGGTGGTATACACTGGTAAGCCCAGCACTCAGGAGGCTGAAGGAGGAGTATCCCAAGTTCAACAGAAGCCAAGACTACAGAGTGAGACCATGTCTCAAACAGAAAAGTAAAAAAGCAATATTTACTCCTGAATGTACGTATGAACCTGAAAAAAAGGATGAATCATTTTTCAAAGCAGCAGGATCTAGCAGAAAAATAATGGGTCTTTGTGGACCCCAAAGAAAAACCTAGGGATTCTTCCCAATACTGCGAATAACTCGCAGTCATTTGGCCCCTGTGTGCAAGATAGATTTAAATTACTTGTCCAATATATTCATAGGGGGTCTTAGAGGTATCAATGGAAGATAGTGATTTTTTTCTTCTAAATATTTTTTAATTATTTAATAACCATATAATTAGAAGAGGCATTACATTACAACTGCACTGATATTCAATAACAATTTCCAGAGCTAAGATGCATCTCTTTCAAAATTGGCTGTAAATTTTTATGTTCACAGTTGAATTAATACAATTATATAATATTGAACTCATTATAAACCCTGTAAGACATAAAATTGAATGAGTTTTTAACCTTTAAAAAAGATCTCCATTTCATTTTAAAATATACTGT